CATACTAATTTATTTATTTATTAAACACTCGCTCGAATATTTAATAGAACATGACTTCGTTGAATCCCACACTAGACGAACCTGTATCGCGGAAGTTTATAAAGGCATTACCAAGACGCAATATTTTACATATATAAATCAACTAGCTTTCGCCCGCGGCTTCGCCCGCGTGGATCTTGGTTATCGCAATATGCAATTTTTGGAAATAACTCGATAGATTTATTTGGATAAGGATTAATACTGGAGTATGAAAATACCACCCAGACGGCGACCAGCGTGGTTATTCGTAATTTTAGAAAGTAAAGTGATTATTGTGACCTAACCGTAATAGTTAGACATATGCTATCGCGGACTTATTTGTAGATCTCAATGAGTACTTTAAAAACGTAGAACATTGTTTTTCATTATAAGCAACTATTTAGTCAGTGCGCGCAAGATAAGTGAATTTTATACAATTTTTCTTCCGACTTGCTCGACATTAATGGTCACAGTTCGATAAATATAATATATAGCCTATGGCACTCACATAGAATGTAGCTATCGATTGGTGAGAGAATTTTTGAAATCGGTCCAGTAGTTTCGGAGCCCATTCGTTACAAACTAAAAAACAAATGTTTCCTCTTTATAATATTAGTGTATATTATAGCGACCTGCCCCGGCTTCGCATGGGTGCAATGCTAAGCGCAAAAAATGCATTAATTTACGACATCACATTAGAAATCTCTAAAATTATCAGTGTTTCTCTGCTATATTATGCATAGTGGTCCCGCCCTCGCTTCGCTGCGGGTACCATTTTTACCCCCGTAGGAGTTACTTTTCAAAACATCTATGTCCTAAAAGTTAAAACTTACCTACCTATACCTTACTGGTACGGTGAAAATTCTGAAGTTTTATTTAACACGCCTAGACCTACCTCTAAAATTATCAGTGTTTCTCTATCTCCCCTCCCGCACGCGCACACCTGCCTTGGTGACGCTCACTTCGTAACGAGCCGTGCAGCAGAAATCGTAATATTTTAATTTCGCCATAATTTCAAAACAATACGTCCAATTTTAATCATTCAAAGACCAAATAAATAAACTGTACTTAGTGATGAAATAATTTAATAAAAATGGTTGTTGTGCCTCACTCGACATAGATAGGTATAGTGTGTCGCGGACTTTTTTGTAGATATTTATAAGATCTACAATTAATATACAATTACAAACAAACAAACAAAATTTTCCTCTTTATACTCGTAATATTGGTGTAGATGAGCCAATATCACAGAACCAAGCACGACAAAAGTTAATATAAGGGTTTTTTTATGACGACATCTGCATACAACCATAAAATTATATTACTAATATTTTTTGAATTAGAGGTTGCCGTTCTAATTTAAAATTTTATTACTCTTTACAAAATTTGCTAACCGTTAGTTGCCTATTTAAACATGAGAATAGAAAGGGTAGAATGAGTCAGCTTTTGACTGAACATCACAACTGCACGATTGCGCATGCGTACATCTTGCGGACCTCCATTCACACTTCGAGGCATTATGCACATTATCACATTTTCGCATGACTTGAGATTTTCGTTTCAGATTGCCACAAATTTTTCTGCCTTTTATTCCTTTCAAATTAAAATTAAATCTGTTAAGCATATTTTTATAAGCATATATGTCGAGATTTTAATAAATAAAAAAAACAAATAACGTAATTATTCATTTTTACCTAGTATTTATTGTTCAGTTAGATACTTATTGTCTATAATTTTGATATAATTATTATAAGTAATTCTTATTATAAAATACAGCATACCCAGATATATATAGCTTTCAAAAATCATATTTATAGGTAAGGAGTTCCCCGTTACATCCTTGACTATTAAGTACAGCTAAGCTATACTATATTTATTCTCTATATTTCTTGTAACAATAAATAAAACTATAAAATTGAAAATAATTCAACAACCAAAGAAATTCAAGACATACAATCAAACAACAAGGTATATAAATAAAATTTGTTATCTTCATTTTCGTATCGCAAAAATAATTAATCTAAAACTAAAAAGTACCAATATTATTGTAAGCGACGCACCTCGCACCTCGTAATTTGTTATAATTGTAACTTTATTATCTCTGCTATCTCACAATGATATAATGCACTTTTAAATGAGTGACAGATGGGATTGTGCTAATCAAGAAGACATTAGAAACTTTTAAATATAATAAATCACCCATAATACAAAACTATAATAGGAACTTTCATATGTATTGTTTTTTAAATTACACCGTTAACTTTTTGTTAGTAAAATAGGCTACCAGTCTCATTGTCCCAGTCACCCCTGGTAACCATCGTACTGAATAGGCTATTTGACTGATTTTGAAAAATTGTTTTCAATTATTCGTCGGTATATGATTATTACACCTTATGTATATTTCTGCGAAATATGCAGTATTTTCCGTAAAATATTGTATTAAAATTTAAATTACAATATTCGCGCTAAAAACACTGTTTCTGTAGTGGCTGACGCCATATGATTTGCGTGACGTCACAGACAAGTAAAGTAATATACGAAAGTGTACATTCAGCTTGTTTATAATATTTTTTCTGTTAATTTACTGGAAAAAATGGTGTAATATGTGCTACAATGCACAAATACTTCTAAAAACTCCACTAAAACTCTGTTTCTGTTCCAACGAACCTTAAGAGATGTAATAAGTGGTTACAGTTAGCTCGAAGAGACCCAAACAGTATTTTATCTCAAACAAATCTTTTTACATAGAATGTGTAATAAGGCGTATTAGAGAATTCCATATGTTGACGCAACATTCTGTAATTAATTTAAATATACTTCGTGTACTTGATGCTATTATTATTGCATGTTCACTAATAAACTTGCAGAACTCTATTATTAGATAATGTATCTATTTATTTAAATAAGGAATGAATAACAAATAAAACAAAAGACTTATACATTGGTTTTATTTTTTTATTTACAGAACATACATTTCCTATATACATTGTCACACACTAGTGTTTCTTAATAAAATAGGATAAATATTTGATTTCCATATATCAAAAAGCTTTTTTATTAACTTATTGACATAGTCAGCATCATAAGTGACTAAATGAATTTCAATAGTCTCATTTTCTTCAAATTTGCTGTCAGCAACACAAAAATAACACTTTTTTACACCAGCGGCATACATTTGTATTTGCACCTGGGCTTTACATTTTTCAGATATAACACCATTTTTTAAATATTTATCCATAGATTTTGCTTTACTAGGGCACTTTATTTTTACAATGGCATCATTACCTACACCATCAGGTAAAGCTGCAATCATGGGATAATTTTGGCACACATACAAACCACACAAATCAATTTTGGTTTTTAATTTCTTGCTGATTGTTTTCCTTACTATTTCCTCCAAATTCCTACCCCTTTTCATGGCAGCAGTGTCAGGTATTTTGACACCCAAAATTGCAGTAACTAATGAGCCATTTGGTGTACAGCAAATACTCCATGTGCTTTAGAAGCAGTAATACGACCATATCTAATTTCATACCACAAGCTAGTCTTATTCTGCTTCCTTGTTGTTCTTTCAATCATCTGTATTGCAGCGACATCAAATGTTACCTTCATGGCCTCTATAAGCTTCTCTACATATATTTTAATTTCTTGATATTGATTTATCATGAAAATGTGCAGGGAGTACTGCATAACACCAGTAGGTATGTTTAAAATCATGTTGATATTTCCGCAGCTCACAGGTATCAATTTTCTTTTTCTTTGCCTTAGAAATAAAGTCATCATAAACTACTGATGAACTTGGTCTATGAGGTACTTCTTTTTTATACAGCTGGGTAACTGTGATGTACTTGAGAGTAGTACCTACTCTAGATAGAATAGGTTTCTTCCAGTAACACTCTACTGATGTGCATGGGGGTTCTTCACTGCGACGATGAGCCCACATCAAAAAGGCAACTACATGCTTACATCCACCAGCTGAAGCTACACAATCATGGCACTTACAGCTAATGATTTCACCGTTAGTTTCGTTCACCATCATTGTAATATTATTGCTTCTTGCTTTATGCTCTGGATAGATTTTACATTTCACTGTGCAAATTTCATGCTCCCAGTGCAATTGTACATAGCCAACAGCGTCATCACCATAGGATTCTCTGGAAGATTTGTAGACAAAAGAAAAACTGAGGTCAGAAAGGTTTTACAATCAATTTTGAAGGGGATTAATAAACATAACCTAAATATTTTGTGAAACCTCGACACAAATTATTATAAAAAATATTATTATAAATAAATAATTAGATACGTACACAGCAGTTTTTATATTTTTGAGCTCTGCAGCATAATAATCAATGTTATTTTTAAAGAAAAGTGCAACCATAAATACGTCTATCTTAGGTAGATTTCTATTATCAACTTGTACAAAATTCTCGTCCATTTTGAGAGCAAACACTATTGTTTACATGACCAGATATTAGTGTCTTGCGGAATATTAAGAAATTCTTGTAAAAATAGCACAAGAAACGATGGAAATATGATAAAATCACATAAAGTTTATAACAATAAACAATGTTGACTCGCATGTGACTATATGTCACATGCAAGTTATAAAGCGTTCTTGTGGCTGAAGAAATTTAAAAAATAATTTGAATTTATTTTGTTTATTTTGAAAAATCTATCAATATTTTTGGATAAAACAGAGATAAATATGTTTTTTTTATGTTATTACCTAATAGGATGACCACATTTGGTAGCATATTTTTAACAGTGTCAAATAGCGTATTCCAAATGTAATCATCACGATGAGCTGACCTGCCTTTTCATTCTCACCTATCATCCCTATCTGGAGCCCCGGGGGAAAAGGATTGTTAGTAATGGAGACCGAGAATCCCATTGCTAGCAATATACCCAACCAGGTCGACCTCCTCACCCGTCCACTTCTTAAGAAGTGGATGGACAGGCGGCGAAGGCCGTTGACCTTCAGGATGACACAGATACTGTCCGGGCATGGGTGCTTTGGGCGATATCTGTGTCATATCGCGCGCAGGGAGCCGACGGAGGAGTGCCATGCCTGTGGAGCGGACCAGGACACGGCGGAGCATACGCTGGAGGAGTGCCCAGCGTATGCCGATGAGCGTCGTGTCTTGTCCGCGGTAGTGGGGACCGATCTCTCGCTGCCCGCCGTAGTCCGGCAGATGGTGAGCAGTGAGAGATCGTGGGAAGCAATGCTCGTCTTCTGCGATGCCGTCATGTCGAAGAAGGAGGCGGCGGAAAGGGAGCGGGAGAGTGCCACTCTCGCACCGTCAATCCGCCGCAGACGAGTCAGACGCAGAAGAAGGGGCGTGCCCAGTTCCGCCCCTCCTCCTTACCCACTGGGGCCGGGGTGATACCTGTGGGAAGGTATTGTCCCAATGGTCCTGGGGGATGTGCTAATATACCGGCGCATCCCCCGAGTGGTAGGGTGAGCACGCCATCCACCCTATCTTGAGAGAGGAGACCTGCTCTTACCATCAAAGGGCGGGTCGCTGCCGTCGGAGATGTGGTGAGTGCGAAAGCGAACCCATGTCTCCGACATATGGCACCTCGAGGGTATATCGTCTGGTTTTTGGTGGGTACACCCCCACCTTACGGGGGGACTCCCACAGTACCCATTCACCTCCCACAAGGTGTATGGGTCTGCATAAAGCATTTTCCAGACGTTAAAAAAAAAAAAAAAAAAAAAAAGGTCGACCTCCTCACAGTTCTCCCTGGAAACTATCATAGTTTATTCCTGATGAATTCATCATGATGGGCTAATTGAACTCTTTTCATCTCGTTAGCGCAGGCGGGGTTACCATACCATTTTCACCCATTAAAAAAAAACTGGAGCCCCGCCAGCGTAGCTAGCAATGGTGTGTGTGGGCGTGGTTACCAATCCATTATCACTTGTTAAAAAAAAAGTCGGTATTATTTACTCGCAGCCTACGTCACCCGTACTCGTCGTAACCTACGAAATAAAAAGGCTGAGTATTTTGAAGGAGTCATTTATAATATTAGTAAGGTGATAAAGGACAAGAAAGAAACTACTACTAAGTCTAATTAGGATTATTAGTACTTAAAATTTTGTTATAATTAATTTTAGTTACATTTTAAGTATTTTTTTTTTCTTAACATCTAAGTGTGTATAATAATACATTTTTAAAGTTTACCACTTGGTTTCGCGGCTGAATAAATAGGTAGATCGGTATTATAAAAAATATTCGTATTTATTGATTAGTGGACCTAATATATAACCCACTTACTAAATATGAGTATAAACACGCGGAGTAATTATATATTAATGCTAAATATAAATTTAGGTAAATCAATTCAATCCTGTGAAGGGTGAAAAGAATAGAAGACATAAGGCACTAGAGATATATTATAGAAAATACACTAACTAAAATACACCTACAAAACTTAATTTAATTATTATTAAAACAAAAAAAAAACAATTAAATCATGGGTTACGGTGATCGCTTACTTGTACTATCAGGTGAATCAAATGATCGTTTGTCGCCTTCTTTACTTAAAAAATCTAGACCTGTTTTTAGCTAACAATAAAAATGGTGCTTCTTAATTTAAAAAATATAGGTGTATTTTTTGTGCATATTACGCAATGTAGTGGCCAATTCAAGTTATTTTGAGTAAATATTTTTTTATCTTTTAATTGAAATTGTTTATTCCCATGTATTGTCCTATACTTGAAATTAAATTCACATATTTCATTACATTCCAAATAATACCGTACCTATCTTATATTATATAGCAATAGTAGCACTAATATGTACAACTTAATACCTATACATTCAACAAACATGTTTATTACTTGGGAAAAGTGTTTTACATTGTTTACTAATAAGAAATATTAATAAAGAAATTTCACTAATATTTATTACCTAAACCACTTAAAATGCAGGTGGCTCAAAACCCTTCCTTATGGCAGATTATGGGGAAGGCCTATGTTCAGCAGTGGACGGAAAGCTTGTATGATGATGACAATGATGATGAATAATTTAGGCCTTGCAAGTTATAATCCGTTAATAGTGGGCATTGTCCACCGATACTAGTAACGGACACAAACGCAAAACATTTTTTATTTGTAAGTATCTCTTATAACAAAGAAGTATTTAATAAAAATAATATACAGGGCGACAATGGGTAACAGTTGAAACTACGGGTATACTGCCTGTTCACAGAAACGCCGTAGGTAAATCATATTTGTGTTAAAATGTTTTAATATATGATAATAATCGTAACTGATTAGAACTGGTAAGACCTACTACGTGCATGAATAACGTAAATATGAACAACGACTTTATATTTACAAGATTTTTTTGTAACAAAATGAAATTAACGAAATTATTGTTTATCGTGCTTATTTTATCTTTTAATGTTCTATATCTTTTTGGGTCTTTAACTATACCCACGTATAGTTAAAGACCCAAAAAGAACACGTGACCTGAGAGCGTCCTCCTGTTTTACTCGTAAATGTCTTAAAATACTGTTATATTTTTGCAATACAATATTTATAAGCACATACTTGTTTCTGTGCTTGACTACACACGTTTTGATTTTTTATTAGGCTCCGCCTATATATACACCTACTTGCGCTTGCGCAGCGCCGCCTCGAATTGGCCACGCCCGCAACGAGTCACTGATTAAATAGGTATAAAATACCAATTTATAAATAGATATAAGATTATTTAATTTATAAGGTTGGCGAGTTCAATCTAGAATTAACTCGCTAACTTACACGACCAGCTATGGGAAAGACAACATTAGGAATTTCATGCATAGAAATTATGCGCAGAAGAAGTAGTGATAGAAAATCTGTAGATACTGCAAACTGTCGTGCTCGAGGTTAATGATCGACAATGGGCCGGCCGATAACCCATAGGGAAGAAACATTCTCAAATAGTGACTCCACACAAGCAAACTCCGTAAATAGGTACGTGTGGGGCGACTCTTCACGATATGACATGACAATAAAAACATCATTGGAGAAAGTTAAAGTCTAAGAAAGTTAAGAAGTCCTAAGAAAATTACAAAAAAATTTGCAACTTTTTTCTTATCTAAAAAAAGGTCTACGGGCTTAAAAAAATTTTTTTTATTGTTTCTTTCAATATTTGTTTAGAAAATTTAATACTCTTTAATTTGACGTAATCAAAAAGCCTGTACGATGATTTGCCGCTGAGTTATCGTCAGTCAAAGCAAAAATGTACTTTTTAACTTTGACAATCAATAACTTTGGAAATAATAACCCTATAGGAAATCGAAGGAGGGTTTTGGAAACTACACAATATTATCTATAAGATACCGTAAATGGCTTTTGTCGAAAAAATTGTTTTTGAATTTAAAAATTTTACCAAATTAAAGACAACAATTCGCATAATTAAGGATATTTGAATACTTGGTATAATTTTGGATAAATGAAGGATATCGTCGGTAATTTTTCAACCTCAAAGTGTCCCCCAAAATCCAAACGGAAGATTGGCAATTGTCAATATGAATAGAAACCATACATACTAGACAGAAATATTGCACTGATAAGGTTGTGTATTTTACGATATTTTAGTTTTACCCAAATATAATTTATGACATTTCTAAGGACGGCCGCAATACATCCGTAGCTTAACTCTTGTCATTGTCATTGAGTATACAACTCTTTTTATATTCCTTTGCGTCCTTGAAAAAAAAAATTATGCTGTGTGTCTGGCATTTTACGACAACGTCTACTATTAATGGATTTATAATTTGAAAAAGAGCAGGTAAGTACGGTGTTCTGCCCGTATCGTAAAACATAGGCGATTAAATATGCTCGAGTATTTAATAAAATTGGCAGTGCAAGTATCATATACGTGGGACACTCAGAAAGTTTTGCGACACCAAAAAAATTTTTCTACAGGTAAATATTTTTACTGCATCTTGTCAAAGTACTCTCTACCAGCCTCTATACAAAGTTTCATGCGTCTGAACCAGTTTTCGAAACACTTTTTCCAGTCCGCCACACACGTTACACTTTTTACAGTCACGCCTTGTTTACAGCCCGCTCGAACGCTAAGAGCACATCAACCGGCGACGAATATTGTATCCCTTTGAGCTGATTTTTTATTTTTGGGAATAAGAAGAAGGTGCTAAGTCAAGGCTGTAAGGAGGGTGACCCAGGAGTTTGGCCGGTGTGCTGTCTAGGAAGTCCCTCGTTTTGATTGCGGTGTGGGCGGGCGCATTATCGTGGTGGAGCAATAGCCCGCAGAGTCCTGTGTTTAGTCGCTTGTTGCTCACAACAAAAAAGACTTCTGCCAAGCAATTGGTAGTATACCATTTGGCGTTAATGCTTCTTTGATTTCGTAAAGGAATTGATACCAAGTAGCCAGTTCAATTGAAAAAGCTCGCGAAAAATTGATAAATCCAGGATTCATCACCTGTAATGATGTCGTAAACACGCCGAGAAGAGCCTGCTTCAAATTTGTCTATCATATCACGACACCATTCCACCCTTACCTGCTTCTGAACATCGGTGAGGTTGTGCGGCACCCAGCGTGAAACTATCCTCCACACTCGTAAATGCACGTTTAGAATCTCGTGAAGGCTTCCTGATCCAATCTGCAGTATATGCTGAATCTCTTGTCTCGTCTATTGTCTTGGATCAAATTTTTCACTGCTAGCACGTTTTCTTCCGTAACAGTCATCAAAGGGCGACCACTTCTTTCTTCATCTCCGAAAGTTAGTCGACCGCAATTAAATTCATTGTACCAACGATACACGGTTGCCTTAGAAGGGCAATTCATTCAATTCAATTCATTATCAATGAATGCCATTTGAAGCCTATCTATCGTACGATTCGTCCGGTTTCAGGCGACACATAAAATCGTATAAAATTATAGCGCGAAAATGTTCTCGACGCAAATCCATTTTTCAATGAGACACGGTAAGTTTAATTAATTCGTAAAAAAATATGAAGGGAAGTTTTGAATTTAGAACGTACCTATTTTTACAACACTCTAAGTGACCTGTTATTTATCCTAAATTAACATAATTTAATAACTTTTAATCTTTTTCATGTGAACATATCCGTGAATTACAGCTATTAATCTGTATGAGAAGAAGATTTGTTTCAGTAATATTAAAAATATAAACCAGGTCACTCAGAAAGTATTGCGAGAAAAAGTTTTTATGCATGTGAAACTGGCCAGTTATAATTTATTTACAAATATGATTACTTTTTTTTCTTTCTTATGGCACGGCACAAAGTGCATACGCCAAAAACAAAGTTTGGGAAACAGCATTTTAGTAAAGGAGTTTTGGACGACGGAATTTAGAATAAGGATCAGAAAAGTTGAATAATGGATAATATAAGGAAAAGGAC